CATAATACTTGTTAGACTGTACAAAATTTTGATAACATAACCTATAACATAAACACTCACGCCTGTCACCCAGAGGGGTAGGCAGAGACTACAGACTTCCATTTGGCACGATCCTGACACACCTCTCTCGCCTCCTTCACATCCATACATCTACGCATGCATGCTCGTCGGTTAAGAGTACTCCTAATTTGGCCCGTTTTCAATAAATCGCCAATTTGGTCGATAAATTTTCGCCTAGGACGTCCCTTTCCGACTCTGCCATTCACTTCTGCAACATAAATTTTCTTTGTCACTCTTTCCTCATCCATTCTTTCCACATGACCAAACCACCGAAGCATTCCTTTCTTAATCCTGGTCACAACATCATCTTGCAAACCACACTCTTCTCTTATCACACAATTCTTCACCCTGTCATTCAGATTCAGCCCTAACATACTCCTTAACGACCGCATTTCTACTGCATTTATTCTACTCTCGTGCTTCTTCTGCCACACCCAACTTTCAATACCATACGTTAAAGTAGGGACCAACACAGCATTGTGAATTGACATACGTGCCTTTTTTGACACATTTTGACTCTTCACAATAGAGTGCAGGGCCCCATTTACTCTGTTTCCTGCGTTCACTCGTCGTTCTATATCCTTATCATATCTCCCATCCCTGCTAAATACGCAACCCAAATATACAAACTCATCTACTTGCTCGATCAACTCCCCATCTATAATATCTATCCATATCCATCTATAATATCATCTAAAATTTTGATATTAAATAATATTAAATAAAATTAGAGAGGGTTCATAGGTATTTGATTGATTCCATGATTTGATTCCCCCTCTCCCTTCCACAATCAGACAACCAGACGGTCAGCGGTTCTAGACGATTTTGTTATCAATACTCCATGCATTCGAACTAAACGACTTGCTTTGTGTTTTATAGTGCGCACAGTAAAGGGAATTTTTCGCGGTGTCTGTCTATCCGACCGAGTATAGTTTTTTTTTAAAAGCAATATAGCAAGAATAATTTTTTAAAAGGCCGTTGAATTACGGTTTTCTATAAAAAAATAATTACTAAAATTTACATTATTACAAAAAAATTGAAGTTTTTATTGTATGCGCTGCAAACAGCATGTGTTTAATTGTATACATATGTAGTATTTTTATTGTAATTACTTGTAAATAAAAATTTATACTGTAACTTGTAATTTTTGCAAAATTCTGTAAAAAAATTGCTACTTCTGGTCTCCGAATTTGTCACATTTATTACAAGTAATTTTAAATTTTATTCAAAAGGAGAGTAAAGAAAAAAGATCAAGATTTAACATGTATATTAAAACTTTCTACACAAGATAAATAATGTAAACATTCTAAACATCTTAAACAACAAAAAAATCTTAAACATTGTAAACATCTAAATAACGAAACAACAGTAATCAGATGCAGCTGTATCAGACGTAGCTAGAGAATGGTTGTTGAGGTGAAAAGTTAATACCTGTCTAAAATAAAAATAGCTTAACACTTAGCTAAAATGTTTATCTATTGTTTTTTTTTTACTTAATATATTTTATTAAACCTGTGTTAGTGCTTGACTAAAATCACATATGATGGTAAATGGTGGTTTGAGCGATAGATGTTAATTCGCATTGTTTTAGCGTATCAAAAGCCTATTCACCTTGCCTTGAAGACACCTATAATATCCTAATCCAACGGAAAGACAGACTTTTCACGTCCACATTTTTGTCATTTTACGCATTACTTAAGGCGAAGCAAACCGTTTGATTCGAATAGGTGGAATATCGACAACATAGGTTGAAGGTTTCGTGTCAGTTAGTGAGTTACGTGGTCAGTGGTGAAAAAAAATTTAGAGGGCATGTGAAGTGAAGAAACACTAAAATTTCAACTCTACGCTAAAATCCTCTCGAAAATGAGGATAGGCAATTTGTATACTGACCGAGTGACGAGTATTAAAATTAATGACGTTGGTTTTTTCATTTAAATTTAGATAACAACCATCGAACGTATGATTAAAATACCTCCTGGTAGTAAGTAGTGATGAATTCCTAGATGGTAAACCTCACTGTATTGCTGTAACAAAAAACTTAACTTGAAGATGCCCAGATTTTATCGGACAGAAATACAAACGCCTGGAAATTATCATTTACGTACTTATAAGAGAAAAGAATAAGAAGTTATGTTCAACCCTGTGGCTTATTTATTTGCTGAGCCTTTTAAATTCCTGGCTTGTACTGCAACTGTCCCAGTATCACTTAACATCCAAGCCTTTTTCCGAGTGCCGAATGTGTATTTACTTTTTTCATTTGATTGAATGTTTGATTCACTCGTTTGGATAAATCACTGTATAAACTGCGAAATTGAAAACTGAAAATCTGATTATTATAATAGTAGCAACGATAACTATTATATTATTATAAATAAATAATAAAAAATATAATTAGAGGATTTTTTTTAAATAAAATTTTTACTATAGCACTCCTCAAAATGTGCTGGTAAGCATTTATTTTTACTTATAAGGCGGTTGCTTTGTGTGTGCATTATCCATAATAATTGAAAAACCAAATTTACTTTGCTTCGAAGTACCAAATCCATAACTTTTTGTATTTTTGTTTATCATACGTGAAACCTCGTAATTAAAAACGGCAAGTAAGCTTAAGATCATTTTATGTACTCCAAGGAAAGATTAATGAGACAAAGGATAGTGCTGTACTGCAATATTTCGTTATTAATTAATAACAGTTTCTTTAGTAGGGCTAGGTTAGTTGAATTCCACGATAAGTATGGGCTGTTAGCTTGGCTTCAAAGCGACATTTACATTTTGAGAGTTGTTTAAATGAAAAAAAAAATGTGTAAAGAAACAATGAACATATTGTAAGCTTACGTAATAATTTTAGCCTTTTTAATATACTCTATATTCAATTCATGATTGTTGTTTTTTAGTGTACATAGTTTAATCTTTATATATTATAAAAATAAAATTGCTTATTATTTTATACGTCTCCTGTTTGTTTTTTCATTTCTATAAATAGGTTTTAGAGTAACAAAGCTTAACCCATGAAAGCTGTGTTAATTTCTCATATGAATAAAAATTAATTTTATAATATGTAATTTATTGGTATATTAAAAATAATTTTATACAAATTTTTTGACTTAATTCATTTATTGTCCATACTTTACCTTAACTTTTAAAAGTAAGAGAAAATATAAAAGTTGAAAGTGTAATGTAAAAACAAGATTTATTGAATACTTGACTACAAGTACCTATTTCACACGGATAATGAACTGAGTGTAAGTAAATGTTAAGTTGTGAAACAATCGTACAACTTCTGAAAGTAAATTACTTGTAATTTTCCTTAAAAGTAATTCGTGCTCAAGCCCGCAGTGTCTTCAGGTGTGGTAGTATTCTGTTCGCAATATAAGCAGGAACAAATCAAATCCGGCCAAACGCTAATTATAAATTACAATGAAACTATCCAAATCAAAGAATTTCTGTAACACTAAATGTGTTTTAATAACTAAAAATTTTTCATCATCATCGTTTTTACATCCCTTCACAAGTCCACTGCTAAGCCTATGCCTATGCCTCCCCTAAGGAATGCCACAAAGCACAATCCTCCTGAGCCACCTGCTTCCATTGATTTCCTGGATGTCTTACCAGGTCATCACTGCATTTAGGGAGGGAGGGGGGGCAATGCCCTGCCCTTCGTATAACAGTACAAGGATGTCACTCAAGGACATCTCTTTCCCATCGGTGGTCGGTTCTTCGAGCTATATGGCTTTACTAAAAATATTTATGGCAACAATTTAAAGACTCAGGTTCTATTATAGATAGAGTCAAATAATCATGCAAATATTTAATGGGGGAGAATGTTGACATTCATTAAGTATATATGATATGTGCGATCCAGCATCTATTTTATGGGTAGATATAGAAAAATAAACGTCTCAATGAGTGACTTACTGTCTAACTTTTTAGAGCCATGCGCCGACTTTTCTGGCGCATGAATCGGCTTGTTCAAACCAATAAAGTACCACTTAGTTCGTATATTAGTAGTAAGTACTACTCATACTTAGCGTGAAGCATCAGATTTTATTACCAATGCGTTTCGTCGGGTAACAGTAGGTTACCGGAGCAACAAACCTGACCTCCCCCTAAATATGGTAGCGTTTATTTTACTTAGCATCCACGTCCAAGCTATTACATGCTCACAATCTGTATACTTGGCAATAGACCACTGTGTGTTTTAAATATAAATTTTCTTCTTCGCCAAACTTCTTTGAGAAATCGGCTACAGCACCTGAAACTAAATAATTTCATCGGTGTTACAGTTGCTGCCAAATCGCCTAAAAATATTAATTTATTCATCTCAGCTTCTTGAAATTGGATAAAACGATTTCTTCAGTTATAATAAACTTGTAGAGTGATTCAATATACAACAGCAATATCACTGTTAAGGAACTGTATTTTATGTTTTTACATAATATTCCACAAGCGAATTAAATATATTTTTATAGTTTGCTTATCATTAAAGTGTTGATAAGTAAAACGTAAAAAACGTACTTCTAAAATTTTTTTTATCGTAGACATACATGTTCAAATAAAATAAATATAGCATATTCTATACAGCCTATGCACATCACTAAAGTAATCAGCTGGCAAATGTCAAAACACTGTTGCCAACATAGCGGCTTGACATCTGCGAATAATTTCAGGTTGGCCATGCGCCATACACAAGCAGCCGCAGAGCAGTATCGACAAAGGTTCACATAACATTTAGACGTAAAAAATATAGTGTCACTTCCCTTTATCTATTTTAGTATTAGAATATTCTAACTTCAACCTCTACGTTTTAGTTGTTTAAGTGTAAAGTGTATCCTATAATGTTTGAAAAGTAATGCATAGTGCCGCATTCGTATACGCATTTTAATTAATTACGTAATGGGAATTATGCTACAGAAGTTTAGAGTTTTGCCCTGAAATTCAACATGGCCGCTGACACGGGTATGGATACTTGCCCAAGTCCGGAAATTACGGACTCCAGGAAACGACCGCTTGATGGAGATTCAGAAAATGGAGACATCAAAAGATCACATTTTAGCTCAGGTAAGTCGCTAATGATTTACGTCTCTGATATATTTTACTTCATTGAGTATTTGGCAAGCAGAATTAACATTGACACAGTGTAGTCGACCCTGGTACTAAGCTAAGTTCCAACAAGATTCTTATCAGAACGTGGCGCTGTTATCAGTTTGACCTATTTATGTGATAATAAAGACATTACGATTGGAATAAGTTGTTAAATTATACTAAAAGTGAAATCAATTGATAAGAATTAGCAAATTTTTATGAAATGCCTTTAACGTGACTACTGTAATTTGTACACGATTACCACTTTTCTTTAATAACTGATAATGTTAAGATATTAAAAAATAAGTTTAAGTTGCCGTTTTTCCTAGCTTCTTGTTAAAAAACGAAATATAGATTTAAAATATATTTTTTGGTGTCTTATTCTATGCAATGTTAAAGATGGTCGTTGTTTTTTAGTTCAAGACTTGGTGACGGCCTTGCCACTGGCCAACGGCCATGGCAATATAACGTCTCATTTTGGTGAGTCGTCAGCCTGTACTTTCGTTTCGCTCTTCATTGGCTTTGTGGTTGTTGGTGGCGCGCATGCCTCTCGCGCGCATTCGCTCACATATCACCTTTGCTGATGTTCACCCCTCTCCTAAAGAGGATGCCATAATGTAACAAGGCGTACACAAGTCGCTCGGCCTTTGGTGGAGTGTGAGCATGCAGTATAGGTGTTAGGAGTGTACCGTCAAATCCTCCATTGCACCGTAAACATCGCCTCGATGTCGTGAGCATTTGTATTTAGCCTCACACCAACCCACACATGGCTTAGTTGATACATTGTTGGTGTGATCATTACTTTAATGTACAAATCTCGTTCATTCTTTGGTTTTCTGGCAAATTTACTCTTCTTGAAATTTTATTTCACATCTGATCGCTTTTATTTGCTTTATTTATTTAAATGTCATCTCAACTAACCAATCAAATGATTAACATTATTTGCATCAACTGTACTTTAATTATTAACGCGACACTGTAATTAGGTATATAGACTGGCACCACTTCATTCATCATGATCTGAAAACAAATTAGTAATGTATTGTAAGTGATTTAGTTTCAGTAAAATGTAGCTTGTATTCAATTAATGTGTACTATTTAGGTGATGACATGCAAGGTTATTTTTGAGTTTTTAATAATTTATTATATTTAAAACATAATGTCCTACAGTATAAAGTTGTTAATTGATTGTCTAGCTTGTGAATTATTCCAAGGTTATCAAGGCTTGCTAGTTGAATAGTGGAGACTACAAGCTTATGTTATTTACACAATTATGTTCTGCAATGAATTTATTTTATTATGTATGAGATGTTTGCGTTTGTTTATTTATTTCTTAAAGGCTTGTTAACTGATCTTTAAACTGTCACACATTTGAGGATGGAGGGTTTGTAACATCTGAATATGTGTGTCCCACATTCTGGTATAAATAATAATAAATCCAATGAGTTACCTAACTTATTGGATTTCTTATTTTTGTCCTATTTACTTAATAGTTTATTTATTTTTTGGCTGTTTTATAGAACCATATAATATGCAGAAATTTTAGAGCAATATCTAATGTCTGGTGATTACAGTGTTATAGAATTACCAATGAAAACTGACTTGTAAGTTATGTCTGTCTGCTGATGTTGGTCAAGGCTATTTATTAGATATTAATGGATCAATCAACAGAATTTAAGTTTTTAATTATGAAATAAATAGCTTTTTTTTTATGCAACCCTGATTTACATGGTAGTAATGCTATAATAAGTACCATATATTTTGTTGCCATTATAATTATATAGAGTATAATTATCTAATGGTGGGGCCATTAGATAATTATTAACTTAAATACTGGTTCCTAAAACCGTGCACAGTATAACATATAATTGAAAATACAATGTTAATAAGCGTAATGTGTGTTGTAGTTGTGAGGGAGTTACTCAACAAAACTACACTATTACTTGGTACTCTATTACCTGGTAATGCAACCAATGACGTAATCAACAAGCGATTACTAATTGTAGCTCTGAACGAAATGTCAAGGGAATGTGAATAATGTGTTACATGTTTAAAAATTAGTATTGTGTTGTAGTAAAATTTGTTTTCTGTGCCTGTATGAATTCAAATTTGAACTCAACACAATGACAAATGGGCTTGCATTCATTTATTTATTACAGTCTATCCTCTGACTGCCTCCTTGGTCTAGTTGTTGTATTAGTGCGACTGCTAATCATGAAGTCCTGGATTCGAATCTCAGGTCGGGCCAAAAAAAAATCGTCGACGATTTGATCCGCTCCGCGCTGGATGCGGTCAAGTGGAAGGAGCTGGTACTGGGGAGCCGCAGCCCGGAGTAAACGCTCGCTTAAAACTTATCAGATAGCGCGGTAGCGATATGGCTAAGTTTTTGGCTGTGGTGATATGGAGCCACGGATTCGAATTCCGCACGAAACAAACATCTGTACGGTCTAGATATGACTAAATTACGCAATCTATGCGCCTCTACGATGCAGGAGTAAAGTAAAGTTACAGCCTATATACGTCCCACTGCTGAGCACAGGCCTCCTCTCATTTCTGAGAGGGTTTTAGGGCAAGGAAGTGTCCGCAGCGCTGCCCCAATACGTGTTGGCGAACTTCACATGTCTCTGAATTTTTTTTTCTTATTTCTCGGACATGCAGGTTTCCTCACGATGTTTTACTTCACCGCGGAGCACGTGGTAAATCAGCACTTAAAATTGCAATTAACAATTTCATTGGTGCCGGCGGGGATCGAACCCGGTTTGCTCGCGTACTGTGAAGTTTACAGCGAGCGCTAACCATCTGAGCTATCACGGCTCTACGATGCAGGAGGAAACAGGAAAATTTTAAGGTGGCAGAGCCGTGCTGCAGCTATATTGTGATTGTAACACGAATGTGTTGGCTCCACTGGGCTTTAACGCTCTCACAGGATACCAGCGTAAAATAGCAGCTCAATGCATCTATGGTTCGTGTGGTGAGTGTAGAGAATCGGAAATCCATTTTACTGGAAACGAGGCATCTTAGTCCTCAGGAGTGGCAACGCATTTATATTTTGATTCTTAATCGAAGATAAATGTAGAGGTGCACGTTTGTCACCCATATTCTGTTTAAAAAAATCCGAGATGGATCCCCGCAGGTAGCTCTCAAATTGTTAACTGCAGTTTGAAGGTACTCATTTACTCATTTATAAAAATGGTGAGACCCCTTAAAGAATTTACAAAAAAAAAAGCAAGTACTCATTTATCGTGTGTTGGATGACGATGGTAAAGGGAAACATCATAAGTAAAGAAGCATTTATTTTAGCAGGTTGTATTTATGATGAAGATAAAGTAAAATTTTTTGAGGGCATGTGAAGTACTACACAGAGAGTGCAGCGGACACTTCCTTGTTTCAAAAAACCCTCTCAGATATAAGAGGTCTGTGTCCATCAGCACTGTGTGCAGAAAAGCATCAAGCAACAAACTAGTTGAATTATCTAGGGGCCTTTTTTATCTCTTCTCAAAAGACTGAATTATGTGATTAGGTATTATTTTTACCGATTTCAAAAGGTATTCATTTCGACTGTATGTTCTTTTCGTGTGTTATCTGACTGTATATTCTTTTTGTGTGTAATCTCAGAACTTTTTTCTGAGTGTGCAAATTTATATGATTCTCTTTTATTTGAAAGCCGGTCCTTATCGTGTGGTCCCGTATGATTTATCAAGATCTGATCAATCCTTATATAATGCGTATTTAATTGACTTCGGATACATCGATCCGGTCGTATTGAAGTCGGTTGTACAAAACGTTTAATTTTACCACTTGTTCGTACTTCTAAGTCAGTGCTTAACTACAATCCCACACGTCGGTAAGTGCTGATGAAGCCATAGACTAATCGCACTGTCTTTTTTTTTATAGAATAGGGTAACAAACGAGCACACAGTCCACCTGATGGTAAGTGGATGCTGTGGCCCATAGACAAGTGGATGTGGATCTAGACCTGTTGACACCAGTAATCGATTTGGCCGCCGCACCAAAATCTTATAATGTTTATGCTATTTTAACATTTACCTATATATAATGCTACCCAGTGAAACTGTAATGCGCAAGCGCACATTCCACCTGATGGTAAGTGGAAGACCCATAGACATCTACATTTATCCTCGATTAAAAATAAAAACGCAGATGCGTTGTCGCCCCTGATGACTAAAACGGAATGCCTCGTTTACAGCTAAAAAGGTCTCCGGATTTCTACACTCACCACACGAAACACAGCAGTATTAAGCTGCTATTTTACGCTGGTATTCTGTAAGAACCTGATCCTTCCCCGGTCGAGCTGATCCATTAGTGCTACAATCATAATGTAGCTGTAGCGTAACTACCACGTATGTAACTAGGGCTGTTAACAGTATTCGTGCAATATAGTAGATATAAATAATTCCATAACACAAAGGGCTCTTTAAGGTACCCTAACCTAATTACACTGACTAGTTTTAATTAAATGGATTTTATCATTTATCTTATTTTTATATTTCCGATGTTTTGAGTACTTCAGACCACTCATAGTTCCACAGAACAGAGACATTTAAAATCTTAATCCACGGCTACCTTAGGTTATAAATAATAGATTTTATATCGATGTCCGATCTACGGACAAGGACTAAATAGTTCTTTATTCATTGTTTCATAAATTTTACGAGTAATATATTTTCTAAATATTATTTATTGTAATTGTATTTTTTTTTACAAAAGAAGTAGTAACCCTAGCACATTAACTTATATATTAACCCTAGCACGGTAGGATATGTTAGAACATAGCAATAGATTGTTACTCTATTGTTATGTTCTAACTTCGATTGTATGTTTTTTGTAAACTTCGTCAACTGTAAACTGCTTTTAATGACTATTTTTTTTTAATTAAATAGGGTATATTTTAGGGGTATTCCCACATGAAGTTTGAGAAAATATTTTACACAGATAAGGGTGGAAAAATAGGAGATAACGTTTTTAATGTAACTATTTAAATGACGTTGTAGTTTTTAGCTCAAGCTTGTAATACATATTTCTTATTTCACTCAAGATGGTCAAAAATTAAACTTTTTGTAAAAATGGTAAGTCAACTTCAAAAACAAAATAATGCTATTCGGGACGTTAATTATTCTGTACACACAATATTAAATGATATTTCGTTATATAAAATTGGCTTTACGCTTTTTATTAATTTTTTACTGAAATGATATCATATCATATTTCAATATTGTTCAATACTCTCTAAGCAATAACGTTTTCCAATCATAAAAAAGGAAAAGTGTCGATAGTGCGCCGAGATCAAAAGCCTACCCGAGCTTTTATGCCGTCCCTCGCCTCCCGCCGCTGCAGGCAAAATGAACAAATCTCACTTTGCAGCGATGAAATTCATGAATCATACGGTCATTTTACGCTCGTTAGGCGCTATCCGAACGGAGAGTTTCGAGGGGAGACCTATCGGGAGTCGGGACTTTTGA